ATAGCTTCAGATCAAGAATACCATGCATATCATTATTACATTTGATTATTTTAAAGTAGATTAAACATCAAGTACAATGCTTTTCAGTCTCTCATGTTAAAAAACTCTTGGTACTGAAGCAGATGTTGAAAAGAAAAACTTCCTTCCAGTCTCATGATTGATTAAATACTCTATAACCAGTTACCTGATCATAAGAATGGACAGCTTTGTCGAAACGACGCCGAGACTCCTGAAAAGGTAGAAAACAGTAAAGTGGATTATTGGCAAACGATAACTTGAATTTTCTGATAACAGGTATTATAGATCATTGCATAGTGGGGAAATAATTTTCTTCTAAAATTTCTTTACGTCTAGGAAAGGAAGATATTGAAATAAGAAAAGCAAAACGTTTTCAAAATCTAACCTAAGGAATGAAAAGGGTTGCCATAGAACTTGTCAGCAGGTGGATACAAAAAGTAAAACCAAAATTTTGATCAATCTCGGGTCTATAACATTTGACGGTCACATTTTCACTTATACATGAAAAGTAGAAAGTAATCAAAAAAGTAACCTTTGCTTCTTGTAAATCAACAGTCATAAAGTTTGTCAGCCTCTCAAGTAATACGTGCTCCACCTACAACAACGCAACAGTTAAACAAAAGAAAAAGTGAAACCTCATTTTAGATTATTAAGTTTTTGCGTCTCTGCTCTTTCTAGACTCACGTACATTTGATTATTTAAATCTAAAACAAGTCTCTTCCAAACATTTGTGTAAAAGAAAGTACAAATAAACAAGACTACTGTGCCCTAAACAATATTTAGCTACCAAAAAATATAGTCTTCCAATAATTAGGCATGCTTCGGTCTTGCCTGATATTTATTTGTAAAACTATCTTACAAGATGTGAGAGTTACCTGTGAGCGAAGAAACTCTTTATAAGAAGAGAGCTCTCGAAGTGTCTTTACAAATTTGGATAATACTGGACCTGGTTTGCCACCCAAAAAAACAAAGCAATAGATCAGAAACAAGACTTTTCCAGATTGTATTGAAACTCTTCCATGTTTAACCAATCATAAACTTAGACCTCATATATTTATCTCGAAGGTGAAACTTTACTAAAAAGAAACATTACAGGAAGAGAAATTTTATCAGCCAATAAAAAGATATGAAACTCCATAAAATCTATGCTTTTAAACCTTTCATTCAACGTTTCTTACACACCTAAGATATGAAACTCCATAAAAGCTATGCTTAAGAGAATAAGTGCCCAAAAAGAGAAACCTCACAATCTAAGAGAAGTTTGGTGAGCTAAAGAAATGCATTATATTTGTCTCTACCAACCAAAGATCCCACAATCTAAAGGAATGCATTGATTATGGTTGTTTATATTAATCAAAGTAGTTTTATAGCTGGGGAGGAGCTAATGGAATGCAGCATTGTTCTTTTTATCAGCCAAAGAGCTCAGTCTCCTTGGAAGAGACTGTATCATACTTCATAGCACCTAAACTAAATGATCATCCTAATTAGAGGTGGCTAAATCAAATGAGAGTAAATCCACAACCTCCAATAGAAACGCTGACAGGATCATCATGTCCAGCACCAAACTCTTCCAAAGAATCTGCAAATGCACTGACTCCAGTAGATGCCTCTCCCAAAACTCCCCTGAAACAAAAAAAAGAAAATTCAATGTAGTTCCTATCAAGTTATCCAAACTCTCCCTAGGAAAATAGGTTCATCGACAAATAAAGTGGAATTGTAACAAAATGAGTTTAGCACAGACAATGAAGTTGGAAATGTCTCAGCCTTTAATAAGACAAACTTATAACAGAGAAAGAAGATTAAGACATGACGACAAAAACAGAAAACAACCAAAAAAGGTAGGTAGAATTACACTTACATGAACTTCTTAACACCTTTATATAGCTTCTGACAACGATCTTTAAGTTCATCAGTTGTTCCTTCTAAGGAGAAAACCTAAACCGATCAACAAAATTAACAAATTAAATTCGATCAAATCACAAAAAATTAATGGAACTGAATACATCTTTAATTGGAAATTTTTTAATGTACCTGTTTTTGAAACATTGGTGAATCCTCAAGGTTGATAAAGGCCGCCATTGTTGCGGCTAATAAAAAGAATCTGAAGAAGCTTCAGACAAAAAGTGTACGAATTGAGTTAAGACAAGACAAGACAAATAAACCCAGGAATGTTGTCTTTCGCTTTCTTGTTCGATTCAAAATGGATCTCGCTAGATGCAGAGGCGTTTTTCAGCTGTTTTATGTTTTTTTTTTTACTTGCTTTTAGAAGGGCCAGAAAAAAAAAACACTAGGAATTAGTTTTCTTACAAAGATCGCCCCTCATTTTATTATTTATTATAGACATGGAAGGAAATAATATCAGATGACAATTCGGCCATTATCTTCTCACATAAAAATCTGAGAACCTTTCTTTACTAAAACACCCTTTAGTTTTATGATGTACAATATTTTCAACAACCATTTCATTTTCAATGCCATACTTTTTTTTTATTTTTAACATTCTACATCATTTTTCTTTCATCCACCTAATTTATTCAACGCCCTCTTCATTCTTAACTTTTATAATAGTTTGTTTATAAAAATTCAACAGCATTTCCTACCATTTTTAATTTATCATTTTATCTTTATAATATAATAACTATATGTTAATAATTTTTTTAGTTCTAATTAACTTAAAAACTAAATTAATATAACTTTAAATAAAAAGAATGTTGAATTTTTGAAAAGTTATTATTAAAATTTATTTAACAAAAAAAGTTTAAAACATTAAAATAGTTAATTTAGGAAAAATGATATTTTTTTCTGTGTCCAAATGATATGAGAGTAGTCTCTATTTATAGCTTGTAAAAAGTTATCAATTTTGATATAACTTTTATTATTGAAAAATAAAATATTATATAATAAATGAGTTTTAGTTATTAGATGAAAATAAAAATAAAATAAATATGCACAATATTTATATCCAATCAATTTATGCCAAGTGGCAAAGTTGGTCCACATAAAATTTTATCAACATGTTGAAACTTTTCAACAGATGTTGAATCCACATAGATAAACACAATATTTCAACATCCTCATTGTAAGGTATTCAACAGTTGAAACTCACTTTCAACACCCCTATTATGGGTGGTCTTAAACTAACTCTATTGGTAAACTTTAGAGGGATCCTTAACTTTAAAATAATAATAATAATAAACAAATCGCGGATCCCATTGAATAGTTAAGGATTTGCCTTAGTACAATCATGGATCACGGATCACAGATAATTGAATAATAATAGGCAATTCTTAGCACAATCACGGATCTCACTGATAAGTATCGACCTGGGATTGGTTTTTTTTTTAATTCTAAAAAATATTAATTAAAATTGAAAAAAAAACTTTAAGAATTTTTACTCAAGTTCACCAATAGACATGCCTTTAGTTTTTTTTTGTTAGCGAGAGAACCATTCAACTACTCATTGGTTTGGGATATGCTCACTTTTTTTCTTGGTAAGACCGCCGCCCTTCAGCCACAAATAATAGGAAAGACCCCTTCTTAGCGCAGTGGAGGTCACTAGTCTAGGCCATTTATCTTCTTGATCGCGACTTGATCCCGTCCAGTAAGTGTAAAAGATGTAAACATATATATATAAGGGTTTTTAGTAATAAAACTCCTCAATTAAAGATTTAATAAAATAAATCCTCAACTTTAGTTTTGTTAATGTTTGTCACACACCGTCACAAAATTTTAAACGGAGGGTGACATACTTTAACAGAACTAAAGTTGAGGGTTTATTTCACTAAATCTTTAGTTGAGGGTTTTTGTTACAATACATCTTTAGTTGAGGGGTTTTACTACTAAATGTAGTTAAATTATTATCATTTATTCATTATTTAAAAATCTTAAAATTGATTTATAAACCTTGAAAATAATTTCTATTTTTATATATTATTTTATCAATTTTATAACTTATTTATACGGTTTTCTCATTTAATACTTTTTATAAATTATTATTAAAGTTTAATGATGATTTTATAAGATTAAAGAAGTGATTATTCGTCATACTACAAAAACATGGAGTAAATAAATAAAACAAGAAAATCTTATTGATTAATATGGTAGGAGTATAACATATTGGTTCAGAAATTAAAAAGAAGGAAAATAATCCTACATTATTTCTTTTAAAATAGAAAAAAAATACGAATCAAATTGAAATTGTTTAAAGATGAGAAAAGACGCTTGCCATATTTTAAGTAACAAGATTGAGTTTCTAAACTAATTAAATATACTCAACACTACCTACAACTTTATATAACTTAGAAATCTTAATTATTTGATAATTGACAGTATTAATATAAGAAAATTGTATGTGTTTTCTCCTTTATAAAGTTTCATCGTTTTACTTCGTAATATCAAGAAAAATCATGTATTATTTCATCCTAAGAAATAGCAGAAAAAGCTTATAAATCATCGTTAAACCTTATTAATAGTTTATAAAAATATTACAATATTTAATAAGCTTTATAAATAGGTTAAAAGTTTGATAAAGTAATATATAAAAAATTATAAATTATTTTCAATGTTTATAAATCAATTGTAAAATTCTTAAATACTAAATAAATGATAATAAAGATTTTAAAATATTTAACCGCATTTAGTAATAAAACTCCTCAACTAAAGATGAATCGTAACAAAAACCTTCAACTAAAAATTTAGTGAAATAAACCCTCAACTTTAGTTCTGTTAACGTATGTTACTCTCCGTCTAAAATTCTGTGACGAAGGGTGACAAATATTAACAGAACTAAAATTAAGTGTTTATTTCACTAAATCTTTAGCTGAGGGATTTTATTACTAAAACCCTATATATAACTTGTTAATTGTCTTTATTTATTAAAACTTAAAAGAGACTAACGACATAGTAATTTGAGTTTGAATACCCACGGATACTCTATTTTGCTCTAAATAGTAGGAAACCTTTAATATTTCTTTTTCGGTTCGAGTTCCTTTAATGACTGTATTCCACTATAACAAAGATTTATTTCCACATTATGGGCCGTATTATCAAATATCCACCACTAAACACACAAAAACAAAGTTGTGTCCATCATTTCATGATTTTCATCTTTTGACAAAATGTCAAATATCTCCAACGGTAATTAAAATCTTTTCTCTATTTCTTTCTCATTCTCTGTCTTCCATTATTATCATCCACTTGTTGAAGATTTGCCCATTAGAAAGAAAGAAGCATACGATTCTCTCGTCTCTTTACCATCTTCTCCTTCGATCCTCACCAAACATGGAAGCCCTAATTCACCACTTCACTCTCCTCTCCGACCAAGCCCTTGTCGACAAAACATTCGACCCTGCCACGATCGAAGACCTCATGCGTCTCTTCGAAGTCGATTCCTACAAGGCTTGGGCAGCACTCGAAACAGAACAGCAACAAGAGCTCGAAGCAGCTGAAGAATCCATCCGCGAAGCCGAAGCAGAACTTGATCGGTACATCTAATTTTCAAACCTTTTTAACTTTCACTTTTGTCTCAGATCTAAAGATTTTGTGAGTTCGCGGTTTTGTAGGGATATGGAGTGGGGGATGGAGGAGTACAGAAGGACGTTGGAGGAGATGGAGAGGATGGAGGCGGCGGAGCTTAAGGAGCTTGAAGAGAAGGCGGAGACTGCTCGGAGAACGGGGAATTTATTGGAGAAAGCTGCTACCATCGCGGCGAAAAGGCATATTGCGGCGGCGATGGGATCAGCTGCGGCGTCGATGAGATCAGCTTGGAAGACTGCATCTGGGAGTAAAGTCCATCCTTCTTGATCGTTCGGTGTGGAGTGACTGTGATGTGATACATGATAATTGACGTTGATGATCAATGTATTAGGTGATGGGTTATGTCGATGGTTGCCATGGTGGACTATACTTTATCAAATAATAATTACTAGATGATAACCCGCGCATGAGAAATTTTTATACTAATATTTATTCATTAAATGGTTTTTAACATTTTACAATACTTGTATTTATCGATTATAAAATGATGAATACAAATGTTGGTATCTTAAATCATCATAGGTCTGGACGTTTGAGACTTCGTCGATTTTAGTTTGATTGACACGTATTTTCAGATTTTGGTATTATTCTCATAAATCATATTTGAATTTTACTAACTATCGGATTATATTCGATTTGATCTTCTCAATTCAGTTTGGATTGGATTGTAACCAATATCTGAAATCATCCCAAAAAATATTTGTTAAACATTAGAAATTGACAAAAAATCAAAATATTTAAACTATTAATAAATCTAATTTAAAATTAGTTAAATTATCTAAAAAAACTAAAAGATATTAAAAAAGAAGCAAATAAAAAAAAACTACAAAAATCTTTCGAATACTATAATTTGTATCTATTAACCTCAAACCTTTTCACTGAAATTTTTAAATTAACATATTTATAGTAGGAATATATACTAATGATACTTCATATTCGTACGATTTATGATAATTTGTATCTTCTTTGGAAAAAAAACAAAGTTAAACCATTGATCATAAAATTTTCAATGTGGGATGTTACTATTTTTAGTTATTTATGGTCGTTTTAAAAAATTAAAAATATAACCTATAAGAAAAAATTTAATTTTTTTATTATATATTTAAATGTGATTGTTTAATTTATTTTAATAATTTAAAATTAAACAAAAAAAGAGAGAGGATACAAAAATATGTATTATTCATAATCATTAATTACACATATATGTTAATCATATTATGTAATTCGGTAGCTTTTATTTAAGGAAATAAAATATATTGTTTTATACCTAGTAGAGTTGGTCCTTTAAAAATGTCCATATATTATAGTCCTAAATGCAAGAAATTAAATGTTACGTTATTTCATTCCTAACAAAGTTGGTCCATTAAAAAATTAAAGTTGAGAAGCTCTGTGAGTTTGACACGTAAGCATGCTCTCTAAGGTTGTGCATTTATGAATGCTTCAAGATTAATATATAAGGGATTCTTTCGGTAAATTTATTAAATAATTGATTTCTCCTAATAAACTTATCGGAAGAGTTCTCTTTTGGATATGAAAATTAGAGGATGTTAGTTGAAAAAAGTTTTATAAGATGTTATGGAGAGATTAATTTCCATAATCGGCTTGTAGTTTCTTAAAAAGAAATACCTTAAAATATCACTTATTTTTTTTTGTCATGAATATAGAACAGAAATGTCAAAAGGACTAAAATATCTATTTTACTAAAAATGAATATTTTGTTTTCTTAATAATTCTACTTTGTGACACTTAATTAATAACTATTAATTAATTAATTAATTACATATTTGTGGAAACACTGTAACCTAAAAGTTAAAATTTAAAGACTTTTACACTCAGATCTAGGATTTGAAATCTATAACATAATTTCTTGCAGATTATAAGATGCAAGCTTATCGAAAGTTCCAGAGTACTCTAGGTATAACCGTTTGTTGTGGTCATCTGCTACGGAATGGGTAGTCCATCGAAGATGCTATACATGCATAACCGTTCATCGATTCAAATGTTCTGGGGCGGAGAGCTTCATTGTGAAATCATATGTTGAATCGTTTATCATGATTACATATGTTGCTGGAAGTTGGACATAATATATAATAGAGTTAAGGATTATATGATGATGTAATTGTTATCCGGTGCTAAAAAAAACAAATTAACTACATGTCTTTTATTCTACTAGATTATTCTCTAGCCTAACTTTTTTACAATAAAACTAAACAGATATATCATAAATGTTATATACAAACTTTAAATGTTTATATATTCATGTATATTACTTTCACACTGAATTTTTTTTTATTGTTTTGTTAAAACATAAAAAATTTATTTTTCAAATATGTGTTACATAATTTGATGGTTAATATAACTCATATATATACATATACATATATATATATATATATATATATATATATATATATATATATATCTTAATTACAATTATAAGAATATAAACAAATAAATTTTAGTTTAATATTTTCCTTAAAATAAACATATAAGTGGAATTTGTTTGGCAAATAAAAACTTAGAGACATATCTATATATCTTATTAAAACATAATTATACTTTATTTGACATAAAATATTTTATTTTAGAAAGAAAAAAAAGTAATATACATAAACATACTAACATGTGTTTTATTATAAATAAATACATCAAAAATAGGTAATGTATATAATACTATTAATTGAAGAACATCTTATATAACATATCATTTGATAATATCTAACCAAAATATGAGCAATTAACAAATTACAACTAATAAATCTTTGATCTATCATAAACGTTACCCCTCCGTTTCAATTTAGTTGTTGTTATATACTAACATTTTCGTTTAAAATAAATGTCATTTTATACTTTCAATGCAAAATTTATTGATTTTATCCAGTATTATATTTTTTTATTGGTTGAAATGTGGTTAAATATATACGTAATTGTGTTTTTTCTAGAAAATATGCAAAATTAAATGTTATCTTAATATGTGCGTAAAAATCCAAAAGGATAAATAAATTGAAACGGAGGGAGTATATATTACAAATCGAACAAACATTCGTACATCATGTTTGTCCAACCAGTACATTACTTTGTTTTGAAGAGTTTCAAATGTTTATTTTTTTTAAAATAAAAATTCATGCGGATGCACAGCTCAAACTCTACTATTTTATTAAAGAAGTAAAATATATTTATATTCCTAGAACTAACTAATCTAAATTTAGGGGTTCATGGTAGATTTAGGATTTTTAAGATATAATTAAGAACTTTTTTTTTTAAAAAAAGTTAAAAATATTTTCAAAAACAAAACGGATTTAAAATAAAATTTCAAAAAATTAGAAAATTAGAAATAATGAATTGAATAAAGTCTTTCTTGAAAACAAAAAAAATCTTTTTATTTTTTCTCTTCATTTAAATATTTATTTGTATTTATATATCTATAGAATAAGAGTATATTTGTCATTTACCTCTTTAGTTAAAAACGTTTTGGTCATTTTATCATTGGTGTTCTTTTGGTAAAAAAAAAACATATTTTGAGTCCTTTTGTGAGATTTTTCATTTCTTATAACCACAAAGTTTAGGTCGTTTTAATTTTAGATTTTTTTTTTTTTTTAGATTTTGTACTAATATCCAACACGTGATAAACTAGAGATTGAATGGTCAAAGAAGAGAGAAAATTGCACATTTCCCAGCTTTTTCTTTGTTTGATAACCGTGAGAATCCCAGACGGTAAATCCACACTAATTCCCACAAAGTCTTCCATCCGGACACGCACGGTTCTAGGTGGGAGGGTGGCCAAGGCGACTCGAACCAAGATGGACACTCCAACTGGAGTTCCATTACTACTAAGCCAAGAGCTCTTGGTTACATTTCCCAGCATTGTTTTCGTGATAGTCAGTTGGAATGGAAAAGGCCGTGAATGAGTGGTTCATACATGCTAGAAAAATCCTTTAACATTTATGATTTGACAACATTTGAAAATAAAATTAGGATATGTTCAAACTCCTGACCATATTTCTTATAATGAACTGACCACATTATAAACTAATTCCCTTCTAACTATAAAATTTGGGACTCAATCAGTGTATGTATATGCACAGGCGCATGCTACATTTTAATTTAGTTAGAATTATGTTTGGTTTCGTTGATTTTAAATTGATTTCCTTCTAACTTTGAAATTTTGGAATAAAATATAGTCATTTGAACAAATTGATGTTGCAAATGGTTTACTAAGCCAATAATAAAGGAGAGTCCATGAGCAAGTTAGATATTGTAGTGAACATTTTCTCATGAATGGGTACTAAGCCAACAGAGAAGAAGGGTCTATATTTTAGTATACATTTCTAATGAATGGCAGTCTTTCTTTACATCATGTGAAACATTTATTGAATTGATCATTGTCAGTTTTAGTGATTGAGTACAAACTGTCAATACATATTATAGTTAATTAATTGAAATGACACGACCATGCAAAACAGATCTTATTACTATCCAATCCAAGTCTATACCTCAAGATGTGGACCATGTGGTTAATATATGATTTCTTGGGACAGAAATTTGAATGCAGGCGGCGGGGATGAAATGACGAACGCAAACAAAAAGCGAATTGAATATTCTTCAACAAAATACAAAGTTGCAAACAACATGAGCTCACACTTTGGGCAATCAATGATATGCTTTGCCCTTGATATTTTATTGGGAAACAAACGAAACTCGAACATAAACATACGCACATGACACATGTAATGTCCGCACACCAAATGAAACACAAAAGTTATACACCTACACACAAAACAAAAATTATTGAAGAGAAAACGAATGTTCATAAGGTTTCGTCCATGACCGGTTCTGGAATGTGGTTTAGCGGTTGATCGATCAAACTTTTAGGCTTAACTGCTTGAGCCACATGTCTAATGAGCTTTATTAATTTGCTACAATTAATTCAAAAAGGTCAATCGGTAAGAGAACAGGTTGGTCCATGTCATCCAATAGAGATTTGGCCGAAACCTTTCGATCTCGAAGGTGCTACCTCCACGAATCTGAATCATGAACTTCTATCTCCCACCAATTGACAATTTCTTGTAATATGTAACTGTTTAAATAACTTTGATATACATGATAATTAACCGATGTGGGAATGATTATCCCACGGTTCAAAACATCCTTTTCATTAGACTATCTATACGTGTCAAATTATCCTTTTTATAAGTTACCCCATGCCCAAGTCACGTGCATATATTCACTAATTTGAAACCCTAATATTAATCAGATCATCTCAATTCACGATAACGAACGCAAATAAATAATTTGAAACCCTAATATTAATCAGATCATCTCAATTCACGATAACGAACGCAAATGAAAAACGAGTTGAATATTCAGAAAAATACAAAGCTGCACAGAACATGAGCTCACACTTCGGGCAATCAATGATATGTTTTTTTTTTTGGAAAACAAACAAAATTTGAACACAAACATACACACATGCATGTAATGTTCGTAAACAAAATGAAACACACAACTTATACACTTACACTTGGTAATTGTATGTATGTCACTATGTGGTTAATTCAAACACTTTCTTTGTAGCAATGACAGTGTTTGTCTGGTCCCTCAACTACTCCTTTACAGACTGCCTTCCTCCCATATTTGGCTACGCAACAGTGACAGCAATCATTATTTGAACTTGGGAATGGCTCCACGCCACACTCCTCGGAAAATGTAGGATTTTTGCATCCCTTTGGAAGGCATCTAGCCCTGATGTTCATAGCCTCAATTTTGAGGAATTCTACAAGTTGACATATTCAAAAAATTCATCAGTGCAAGATATTTAAAGACAACTCCAAAGTATTACAGAAGACTTCATTAAGTTAATTAATACCGGTTGAAGCCATCAAGAGGACAATCAAGAGAACGGTGAAGGTGCTCGAGTTAAGGTTCTTCGCCATTTCTGGGAAAGTATTCTGATATACCCCAGTTGGAAAATAACTATTCTAACTACCCCACCATTTTTCTCACTGCCCCACTTTTTTTTTTGTTCGTAGTAGTTTTTAGTAATTCAAGATAGTTTGTTTTTTGTTCATAGTAGTTTCTAATAATTTAAGGTAGTTTCTAGTAATTCAAAGTAATTCAAAGTAGTTTCTAGTAATTCATATTACACATAATACTGATTCATTAAGGGTAATTGATTTTTTAACCATACTTAGACTTTGAGCCAAAAAAAAAAAATCAAATTTATGATGGGTTAAAATAGAATGAAGATGGTAGTAAATGGGGCAATGTAGAATTTAGTCCCCATTTCTGTTGGTTTTGCTCTGCTTTTTCTTTAACTTGATTTTGCTTTGTGAGTTATATCCATATGCATGGTGACCTATTTATAGCCAACATTTCGTAAATTTTTAATAGTTTTTATAATACCGGTTTTGTAATAATTCATAATGTCGACACAATTGTGCATTGCCGTAAGTTCTATATAATCTTTATTTCCAGGTATTCTTTTCTACTTATCGATAAATAATCAAAGAAGGTCGTCGTTGACTTTTTTTTTGTTAACTCATTTTCTAAATCCATTTTCTTAAGTTTGATAATGTCGCTTTTGATAAAAAAAAAGTTTGATAATGTCGCCATAACTGTGCTTTGATGTACGTTTCATTAAAGGTTTTTGAATTTTAATCATGTCGTCGTCCATAAAATATATGAATGATGTACATTGCTTAAATGACACCTCTTTATCATCGGGATCATATCTACCACTCGTGGAACTCTCTTACAAGTTAAAACAATGCCTATGATGGAAGCATCCGAATGTATCTATCCATCATACTCCATACGGAACGATAAATACTAATCGTATAGACTATCATTCACGGTTATATATAAAATAATTTTTAAACCGAAATCATATTCTTAGCAAAAAAAAAATCATGTAGGAACTAGTATTGTTCATGAAACACTCGCAAGTGTAGGTTTGTGTCATCTGATCTCTTGATAATGCTCTCTCATAAAGTCTCTTTTCCAATGAGAAGGTTTCACTTGAGTTGAACATGTGAAATACACGTGAGCTGGATTCTTTGGCAATGAGGAAGCGAGGTCAGAAGTGTAATGAGCTGAAGATATTTTATCTTTATCAGATCGTCATCTTCAACAAAACGAGAACGATCTGTAACAAACCAGAAACTCAGTAGAGTCATCTTCTTCCTGTGACTCCAAGAGAGAGAGAGAGCAAGAGAGAGAGAGAGCTTGGTGAGTGTGAGATTATCTCGCTGCCCTCTTGTATATTCTCTTATCTCTTTGTAGCTTGAGAGATCCATTGTAAACACCTTCGATCGGTTTGATCGGTTCTAATGGAAAGGTGAGAGACCTTCTTCTCTCCCCGGGGATATATAGCTCTCTTCCACATCGGAAGAGGAGGTGAACTCCGGGTCAACAAAAATCTATGTGTCTCTTTGTGTTTATGTTTATTGCTTGAAGTAGATCGATGAACTTGACATAGGTGAATCGGGAATCGATTCTCAACAGCAAGGATAGAAGTTTATTTAATGCAATCTAAGAATTCTCAAGAAGAACCACATAAGCAGTCTATCTAGGTCGAGAAAAAAAGTCTTCTTTGAGATGAGAGAAAATAACGATTATGCGATTTTTTAATCTTTTGAAATAGTGTAACATAACATTGCTTAAACAAAACTTGACGAGATATTTTTTTTGTTAACTTTTTTCCTTTACTATATAGTTCCCCATTTTCTAACACTCGAAACTTGAGAGAGTAAAATCACTCAGATCGGTTCCAGACTCGTGGATTCGTTCGTTTTGGGATCAAGGTTCCAGTCACTCCTGCAGGTAGTTGTTGCCATCAATGGTGTGTGAGAGCTTCTATAAAAACGCTGTGTTTCAACTAAGGGCGATTTTGAGGCGAATTAAAAGGTCATCACGATTTCACGATCTCCGCTGTCAATTTTGGCAGTTGAGATGGTTTCGACAACAGCGGATCAGGCTGATTCTCCGGTTACGGTGGTTCCATAGTCTTGGGTATCGGCGGCGAGGCAAAAGAAGGTTTTGAAAAAGTATGATCTGGAGATCTCTGGATCTGAGGGTGTTCAATCGGTTGAGGTTCCATCGAAGATAGTAGAAGACGCAAATCTGCTATGGGATGACTTTGTCGTTGCAAGGTTTCTGGAAAAGGCTCCGCACGTTGCAAATGTCCATATGATTCTCAATAAAATTTGGAGGTTTGGGGATAAGGTACAGAAGATCGATGTCTATGAGATGGATCCAGTGACAATGAGGATTAGGATTCCTAATGAATCGGTGAAGGAGAAGGTCATAAGAAGGGGAGTATGGAATATCGCAGGGGTACCTATGGTTGTTTCCAGGTGGTCACTGGATGAAGATAAATCAGAAGCAAAGCTTACACCTCTTTGGGTGCATTTGGAGAAGGTTCCGATGAATATGTTTTCATGGGAAGGGCTAAGTTTCATAGCGAGTGCAGCTGGAGTTCCAGATAAACTGCATCCAGATACAATGGCTTGCAAGGATTTCACTATTGCTAAGGTGTGTGTAAAAGCTGATCTCTCAAAGACGCTTCCGAGAAAGATGAACTTTACCATTAAAGGAGTTGAAACAATGGTGGAGTTCAATTACCCGTGGCTTCCATCAAAGTGCTCGGTCTGTGATAAGTGGGGTCATTCATGGATAAACTGCCCAAACAAGAAGGAAGAAATCCCTGAATCATCTGAGAAGGAGGGATTGGAAGAGGTTAAACTGGGGGAAGATAACATAGAGGGAGATAAAGAGATTGTAGTAGAAGATAAGCATACTGGAGAAGGAGAAATTACTGAACCATGGAGAGAGGTTCCTCAGGAGAAGATTGGGAGAAGCCCAATGAAAAGTTCGCAAGAGTTACAAAAAGAGATAGAGAAAATTATTAATCCTTCACGGTTTGCTGTTTTAAGTGTTCCAGATGAGGAGGAAGATAAAGAAAATAAGGAGGATGAGATAGGGAGAGATGTAAACAATGAGATACTAGAGGTTGGAAAGGAGAGTTATAAGGAGGTTTTGGAAAATAAGGAGAAAGATACTGGGAATAAAAAAGAGTTAGCGGTTGAAGGAATAAGGCAGAGTCTACCTAGAAACTCCAAGACACATCACAGAGTTCTCTCGGTAGCCTCGAGTAAGAATGGAGGTTCTCAAAGAAATCACTAATGTCTGGATTTTTCTGGAACATTAGGGGGTTTAATAAATATATTAAGCAAGGAATAGTTAGAAATTGGGTTCGTAGTCAGAATTTGCAGTTTGGTGGCTTGATAGAAACAAGAGTAAAAGATAGGAAGGCATGGACGTTTATTTCAGAGGTTTTTCATGGATGTGATAGTATAACAAAGTAACAAACTATGAAAATCATAGATTGGGAAGAATTTGGATTGTTTGGGGTCCTATGGTGAGAGTGTGACTCCGGTATATAAAAGTAGCCAGATTATTACGTGCTCGATATTAATAAAAGGAAATGAAGAATTTCTCTGCTCTTTTGTTTATGCATTGAATAGTGTTGAGGAAAGGAATGAGTTATGGGAGGAGTTGAAGGCTCATTATGATGCGCCTATATCGAAGAATAAGATGTGGATGATAATTGGGGATTTTAACGAAATTTTGGAGGGTGAGGAACATTCAGATTATGAGGAGGCACCAAGGATTCCTCTTGGTATGAGGGAATTTCAAGAGGTGGTCAGATACTGTAGTTTGATTGACATGAGCTATCATGGACCGAAATTTACATGGTGTAATAAGAGGGAGGAGGGATTAATCTGTAAAAAGTTGGATCGGGTGCTTGTAAATGAAGAATGGCTACACAAGTCCAAGGCTTATTGTGTATTTGAGTCGGGTGGTTGCTCTGATCACCTTCGCTGCAGAATCCAGTTAGATACAGAGGAAAAGAAGAAAAGAAGGCCTTTCAAATTCACAAACTCGATAGCAAAGATGACAGAGTTCCTTCCACTGCTGGAGAATCATTGGAGCGGAAGTGAAGCGCTATTTCCCTCAACAGCAGCTATGTTTATGCTCACAAAAAAGCTTAAAGCTCTGAAACAACCTCTGAGGATTTTGAGTAAAGCAAAGATTGCTAATCTATCTAAGCGAACAAAAGAAGCTTTTGAGGATTTATGTGAAAAGCAGAAGGCTACACTTGAGAGACCAATGTCTGATACAATTCATGAAGAGATAAGAGCTTTTGAAAAATGGCAGAGGTTAGCGAGATTAGAAGAGGAATTTTTGAAGCAAAGATCTAAGTTACATTGGCTAGAGGTGAGAGATGTGAACAATAAAGTGTATCATAATGCTATTAAAATTAGAGAAGTGAGAAACAACATCAGGGAAATAAAGCGCGCAGATGGCTCTGTGGCAAAAACAAATGAAGATATAAAAGAGGAGGCTGAGAAATTCTTCACTGAATTTTTGACTGCTGAACCACAGGATTTTGAAGGAGTCACAGTGGAGAGGCTAAGAGATCTCCTGAACTTTGAATGCAGTAATACTGACTGTGAGAGGCTAGAGAAAGAGGTAACTAAAGAAGAGATTAAGGAGGTGCTTTTTAAAATGCCAGGGGATAAGTCACCTGGTCCGGATGGTTTTACCTCTGAGTTTTTCAAAGAAGCTTGGTCGATTATCGGTGATGACGTGCTGGTTGCTATCCAATCTTTCTTTATTAAAGGATTTCTACCAAAGGGTGTTAACTCTACCATTCTTGCTCTCATTCCGAAGAAAGAGGAGGCGCAGGTTATGAAGGATTATCGCCACATATCTTGTTGCAATGTGTTGTACAAGATAATTTCGAAGATCCTTGCTAATAGATTGAAGGGTATTCTACCAAAGTGCATCTCTATGAACCAATCTGCTTTTGTAAGGAGAGGCTTCTTATGGAGAATGTGCTCCTTGCTACAGAGATTGTTAAGGACTATCA